TAATCGTAGCGTGAAAGAAAGCCATCGTGTAATGTGGAATTATTATTATTATTATCGTTTCTCTTCTCTCGTTCATACCTTTCTAAGCAACTGCTACGGAAATCTCACTCTTAGTCTTTAGCAGAAAAAAAGAACCTGTTCTTATTCTTCAGCGAGAAGAGAAACCTCGTTCTCAGTCTTTAACAAGAACAAAAACCCTGTTCTTAAGTCTTTTAGTTTAGCAAGAAGCAAAGTCTGTGTTGTTTATATCATTTCCATGAATATTATTATCATTAACCTCTTTCGTGGGGTTTTACTTCGTTTTCTATTAACATTCTGTTATGACTAAAGGAATAGAAGTGTCTGAGATGATTTTACTAATTACTGCCAAAAGGTAGTTTTAACAGTCCATGCTGATTATGTTCATTTACACTAGACTAGAAATGACATTCATTATCAGTATATCTAAGCGGTACATTTAATATGATATTTAAAGAGAATGTTCTTATTCAAAATCTCATCTCAAAACACTTCACTTTGTTAGTAATATAAAAAAAAATATTATCTTCAGTAAGTTTACAATACTTATAGGAGCAAAAACGTTTCATGAAAACCTTGATAGTAGTTACTCAAAGATATTACAAGTCGTTAAATACCAGAGATAATTACAGTATATTCTAACATATCTTTATAAAACAAAACCTAACTACAAAAAAGTTACGCTACGGTATCATATTATCCAATATGACCTTGACAGTAATGAAACACCAGGCATCATAGCATTATAGTATAACATGACTAAAGAACGCAAAACCTGGCTACAAAAGAAGTTACGGTATCATATTAGTAACCAACATGGTCTCGACTTTAATTAAAAACCAGGCATCATCACAGTATCTTTAAAGAGGACTATTGAGCACAAAACCTGGCCACAAAAAGTTTGAAAAGATATCAATAGGCTAAAAAAAAAAAAAAAACAAAAAAAAATACGGAAAAAGTAACGCCAAACTGCGAGCCTCTGACGTACCTCTCTGGCCATAACCCGGAGGTCCTCTTGGGCCAGAGGCTCCGGGTGGGCCAGGCACGGTGTGTCCAGGGGGCCCAGGGGGACCACGCGGACCTTCAGGGCCCTCCACGGTGTAGCCAGGCAGCCCCGGGGGTCCCTAGGGATGGGGAGAGGGAGGGAAGAAAATCACATGATTATTATTTGAATGGTAGCGTGCATGGCAGATCAAAACCTCACTTAATATGAAACCGTAATATATATATATATATATATATATATATATATAATATATATATATATATATATATATATATATATGAAAAAATAAGTAAATACTGATACTATAGAATAAAAATCCTCCTGTAAATCACCCTTAACACTGAAAAGAATCACCAGGAAAAAAAAAAACAGGAAACAAACAGAATGAAACCAAAGAACGACAACAGCAGCAGCAGCATCCCTACCGGGGGTCCAGGCGGGCCGGGGGTCCTGGCACGGGCACGTACATCTGGCCGCCGTCCGTGTCTGCCGTGGGTCTGGCCGGGAGTCCTGGGGGCCCCGGGGGACCAGGGGGACCGGGGGGACCTGAGGGACCGGGAAGCCCGCCGGTCCCTCTCGTGACGGTCTCTGAGACGTCGGAGCTGCTCGTGCCCTGTGGGAGGGGACGAGGGGGGTCAGACGGGGTCACGTGAGAGGTCGGTCGCGAGAGGGCAAGTCATGGACGGCTTTGGGTTCTTATGTGATCATTTTGTGCCCTAAAATGTCTGGTTATCTTGTCCTTTCTGTATATAAACTCGTTAGATATGACAAAATAATTTATATGAGAAATATTCATTCGATGAAAATGAAATAAACGAAAATAATACCCCCTCTCAGAGAGAGAGAGAGAGAGAGAGAGAGAGAGAGAGAGAGAGAGAGAGAGAGAGAGAGAGAGAGAGAGAGAGAGAGAGAGAGAGAGAGAGAGAGAGAGAGAGAGAGAGAGAGAGAGAGAGAGAAGAGAGAGAGAGAGAGAGAAGGAGAGAGAGAGAGAGAGAGAGAGAAGGAGAGAGAGAGAGAAGGAGAGAGAGAGAGAGAGAAAGAGACGAAGAGAACGAGAGAGAGAGAGAGAAGAAGAAGAGAGAGAGAGAAAGACAACGTCACGTGACTCACCAAGATGCTGTTCAGGAGGCCACCCGAGGGGGGGCCGGGCGGGCCAGGGGGACCCGGTGGCCCCACTTGACCTCGCTCGCCCTTCTGGCCGAGACCAGGCAGTCCGGGCGGGCCGGGCGGGCCAGATCGTCCAGCGGCGCCCTGGAGATGGGCGTGGGCGGGAAAAAGGGCGTCAGTGTCAGATCGTGATTCAAAAATTAAGGTTCTTGTGGTATCATGCTATCGATTTTTTTTTTATTACAATTATCATGCTATTTGGGAATGCCAATTTGATTAAAATAAAAATGAGTTTGTTTTAATAATGATTATCATGCTATTTGGTATTCCGTATCGGATTAAAATAAAAAAAGAGTTTTTTTTATTATAGATATCATGCTATTTGATAATATAAATAAAAAAATATCATCCATGCTTCTTTTAAGAATAAATCTGTATCATGCATAATTATCGTGCTTCTTATTATTGCAAATTGATAAGTGACTCAGAGTGAGTTTTTTTGAAAATATAAATCCATAGATTATTAATCATGATTTTCTCTCATTCTGTTTCATGCTAAGTGCAGTTCTTAGTATATAAAGTTGATTAAGTGTATTTCATTCATGCTAATGTGTATTGCTAAGAGGAATAATAATCCGTTTAATATATTTTTTGTTATTCATACAAGACAATTGGAAATTAGATTTTAGTTCCCATGCATAAATCACATGATTATGCCTATCAATAAAATCATGTGTAACTCCCGTGCTCTTTTAAATCTATTATTCTTAAATCTGTTATTCTGTGCTTCTGTTCTTATCTATTAATTCGATAGATTAGACTCATTGTAGTTATTATTAAAGTTATTATTATTTTGTAATCACTAATATAATCTATGTATATTGTCACGATGATTGCAAGCGTCCCATATCAATTCATTTGTATTAGAAATTATGTACATCATGGTATTTGTTCTTTACAAATCGAGTACATTTAAGTAGCATTGCAGAGTATGTACATAATTATAACAATAACGTTATGGAAATGAAAATATAATCAAAATTATGTATTTCTCCATCTAAGTCATCCATTTATACATGATGCATCTCACTATTTTTATCCTGATACCAATATCTATCAAAAAAGGAAATAATAATCACAATAAAGATAAATAAATAAATGAGCACATATTAGGCCTATGGAATAAACATTATCTCAACACGGTGTCATACGTTAGCTGTTAAATAGCAACACAGGATTAGCAGATGTCTAAAATAGGGAAAATATATATTTGTTATCTCTATCGTATATACAAGTTCAACAAAATATCACAAAAAATATAATTTACTAGATCTATTTCTCAAAATACTAATATTAGCTACGGAATAATAAAAAAACACGAGCATGCATGAATATGACTTTGACAGAACATAGAAAGAAAATATATTTACAAAAATAATACATAATTAGAAGGATATTTGATAAGCCTTAAGCCATTTTACTTACAATATCTGTTACGTTCTGGAGGCAGCGAAAGGAAAGTATTTTTACTTTTAGAAACCTCATTATCTACGTCATCTATTTGTTATGAAAGCCCTACTGCGTGTGAGTAAAGCGAAAAATTACGTATTAATCATGAGAATGTTAATGTGGATATGAACGTACTTGCAAATGAATGTACATCACTGTTATACACAAAACACACATTACGTGGACAAGTCAGCTATACAAAAACAAGATTAACATCACTCTAATACACCCAATTTGAACACTCTAATACACCCAATTTGAAGAAAAGTCCTACACGTAATACTAACTCTATCATAGTGATTGAAACATGTTAGACTCTACTGCATTTTATACAATATTGTATTTATCTGATACGTATATTTATACTGTTGGATGTGAATTTACGAAATGCTGAGAACTATATAGGGTTATGTAAGAATTTGGTCATATGTACCTAAAGCTAGCCTGGCTTTCTCTCTCGTGTATAGATATAGCTAAGTGTTGTCATAATTAGGAAAGCCTTACTAATCACCAGAAAATGCTTCATGATTATAATATTCATGAGTCAGTTTGATATTCATGTATTCGCTATTATGATTAAAACCTTGTCGTATTTAAACGATCATTTCCCTGAAAGAACACAAAGAAGAGAACAATTGTATAAGTGAACTGCCTTTTTAATACTCCTAGTATATAATCCGTGAAAATGTCCTATCGCACTATTTTTACAGGAAAGTGTTATTAAACAATCTACAGGCCGAGTCACCACCGACAGAATCTCTAACAACATACACATTTTCTACAGGAGGGAAGACTACAGTCCACACACTCTACGGACCCACATGTTTAACAAACCACACAAACCCACCCTGTCCTGAATTGCACACAAAAAAACGCACATGTGTACACTACCGAACACCTTTCTAATATACACAGAGATAGATTTACACTACTACCACACACACTACGTCCCGAATTACACCAGTTTTCACACACACTCTAGTGGTCGGTTTGTTAAAACTGCTCGAGGTCCCGACCCGGTGAATATTCATAGATATATGGACATGCTTATACACAGAAATAAATGCATATCTATTGCTATATATTGTCAATCTATCAGATAGAGAAATAAAGGCATATCTATCAGAGACAAATAAAGGTTTATATATTAGATCGAGAAATAAAAGCAGATCTGTCAAGGAGATAAATAAAGGTATATATACCAGATGAAGAGCTAAAGGCATATTTATCAGAGAAATAGATAATGCTATATAAACCAGATAGAGATATTGATAAAGACATATACATCAGATAGATAGATAGATAGATACGCCTTTATTTCTGTTCATACACGTCCATATCAAGGATCCTTCGGACTCTCGCAATTTCAACCCCTAACCGACCACAGGACCCTGTCGAGGCCCTTCCAGGAAGTCCCCCCCGGTCCAAGGACTCTCACTTACCGGCCATCCAGGAAGACCCAGGTCCCCTACTGCCCCTGGAGGCCCTTGGGGACCAGGTCGACCTCTCTTGCCCCGCCTACCACGATCGCCCTTCTCACCCTGCAAGAGGTTACGGGTGTCAGACCTGCGCACCGGCCACCGCAAGCTGCTGCGAAGCTTTGGGGTTTAGAGGGGGAGAGAGGGGGAGAAGGGGAGAAGGAGAAGGGGAGAGGGGGAGAAGTGGAAGAAGGATGGGGAGAGGTGGAGAGGGGGAAAAGAAGAGAGGGGGGGAAGTGGAGGGGAAGTGATGGAGGGTGGAGTGGGGGAAGAGGGGGAGAGTAGGAGGGGGAGAGTGGGAAAACGAGAAAAGGTGGAGAGGGGTAGAGGGGGAAAAGGAGAAGGGGCGAGGGGAGAGGAAGAGGTGGAAAAGGAGAAGAATGGGTGGAAAGGGGAAGAGGAGGAAGAAGTGAGGAAGTTGGAGAGAAAGAGGGGGAGAGGAGGAGTGTGAAGAGGAAGCAGGGGGAAAGTAAAGGTGAAGAGTAGGAGTGAGGATGGGGAAAGGGAGAAAAGTGGAGGAGAAGAGGGGAGAAGGAAGGGTAAAAGTGAAAAGGGGAAGAGATATAGAGAAGAAGAAAAGGGTAAATGGAGGAACATGAGGAGTAGAAGGAAAAGATATTGGGATCAAAGAGATAGATAAGTAGAAGAGAAGAAGGGGATATAAGGAGTAGGAGAAGAAGGGAGAGGATAAAAAAGATAGGAGAAGGGGGAGGGGAGGGAGAGTGGGAGGAGGAGGAGGAAGGGAAAGAGGGGGAGAGGAAAGAAGGGGGGAGAGGCAGAAGAGAGGAAAGGATAAAAGAGGTAGGACATGAGGGGAGAGGATAAAAGAGGTAGGAGAGGAGGGAAGAGAATAAAGAAGGTAGGAGAAGAGAGGAGAGGATAAAGGAGGTAGGAGAGGAAGTAAAAAGATGAAAAGGGAGGTGGGAGAAGAGGGGAGAGGATAAGGGAGATGGGAGAGGAAGTAAACGGATGAAAAGGGAGGTGGGAGAAGAGGGAAGAGGATAAAGCAGGTGGGAGAGGAGGTAAAAGGATAAATAGGGAGGTGGGAGAAGAGGGAAGAGGATAAAGGAGGTGGGAGAAGAGGTAAAAGGATGAAGAGGGAGGTGGGAGGCAATGTCAAAAAGCACCAGAGGCTTCCCCTGATTAGGAGTCAGAAGAACGTAACCCAAACGGGCATTTAACTCTTTCTGTTTTGAAGGATCGAAAAAAAATAATTAAAAACCCGAACTCAAAATAAAACTACGAACGTATTCCTTAATTTTTCCTCTCTTTAAATCTTTAAAAACTTATTTTTTCTTTTAGCTATTTAATCTTGTTTTTTTTTAATCTACTTATTCGTTTTCTTTACTGCTTTGAGTCTCGTTCTTCTGTCGTTATATATATATATATATATATATATATATATATATATATATATATATATATATATATATATATGTTGAATCCAGTCCTCAAAGAAGGAAAAATAAAAATGTTTAGAAGGGATGTTTGCGTGACCTCCGTTCAGCCCCTCGTTAGTCGCACTACGTAGCTGGTCGTCTAAGCAAGTGTCCTTCTTATCCTATTCGTTCGTCTCTCGGTATTAAAGGTACGATTTGTTAAGGAGAAGATGTTTTTATCTGATAAATGAGGTGATCGTGAATACAAAAAACGATAAAAAATGAAAAACGAAAAAAAAGTAAATTGAATGGTCATTAATAACAAGTTGGAGAAGTGGATTTATCTAGTAGAGTTTAAATGATCTTGGGAAATAGTTTTATTATGATAATGACCGTTAAAAATAAGTTAAAATGACCTAAATTAGCCATAAAACGCGTTACATTAGCATAGTGGCGAGTTAGATGACCATAACGAGATAAATTACCACAAATTACCATAAAATTAACATTTAAAGACAATAACACGAATGATACCAATAAAAGTCACGTTGAATTCAAAGCTCCTTTCGTTTTAACATCAGTTGTTGACGATCTAAATTTTTTTTAAATTATAACAAATTATAATTTTTAATTAACAGTTATAAAATTATACATTCCCATGCACCTCTCCCCGTCGCGACGTCAACAACAGAGCCACGGAGAAGTTGTAGAAGTTGTAGAAGTTGTAGAAATTGAATATAGCGGGTCTGCCAGTTCGTTATGGAAGAGACGTTAAAATCTGAGAGCTTTAACGTTAAAATCTGGGTGCTTGTTTAACGTTAAAACGGTCCAACTTCAGTCAGTAGGAAGTGTATTTTGGCGTCCTTCAATCCTTAAATTTATATATATATGTATATTAATCATACTTATACCATTGGTCGTCAGGAAAATGAAATAATTCTGTCTGTTATTAAGGCTGGAATATAGATCTGTGGGATTTTGATTTTTGGGGGAAGGGTTGAATATAGAAATCATAGGTTTTACCAATATACCAATATTTATAAACAGTATACTACATCTATTTTAGATTGATTATGATATATATAAATGATTATAGTCATGAGATCTTAATTGAAGTTAGTAAAAAGAAAAATAGTAACCCCATAAAATTAAAATGACATGAAATCAGGACTTTTTATCCAATTAATCCTGCAATCTTACAGTCCCATTATGAGAAACCACCAATATATCTTTTTAAAACCAGCAAGCATTAAACTATACATCATTAATCATCATTAAACTAAACTTACAAAAAAAACGAACTTAAAAAGAAATACATACGTGTCCCTTGCCAGACGTCCCTCTCAATGCCCAGACGTCCCTCTCAAAGCCCAGACGTCCCTCTTGAAGCCCAGACGTCCCTTTCAAAGCCCAGACGTCCCTCTCAAAGCCCAGACGTCCCTCTCGAAGCCCAGACGTCCCTTTCAAAGACCACAAAGCAGACGTCCCTCTCACAAGCCCAGAAAGCTCACCGTCCTCTTAGACCCAGAACGTGTCCCCTTCAAGCCAGGACGTCCATCTCGTCCTCTTCGAAGGCCCAGACGTCCCTGCTCCAGGTCCTCTCAGAAGTCGCCTCTCAAATCAGACCGTCCTCTCAAAACCCAGACGTCCTCTCAATCCCGTCCCTCTCGAGCCCAGACGTCCTTCTCAAACCCAGACGTCCCTCTCAAGCCCAGGACGTCCCTCCTCAAGCCAGACAGCAGACGTGTCCCTCCTCGAAGGCCCAGACGTCCCTCTCAAAGCCAGACGTCTCTCTCGAAGCCAGACGTTCCTCCTCAAAACCCAGACGTCCTCTCGAACCCCAGACGTCCTTCTTCGAAGCCCAGACGTCCCCTCGTCCCCAGAAGTCTGCTCCCAGACGTCCTCTCAGAGCCCAGACGTCCCTTTCAAAGCCCAGACGTCCCCCTCAATCCCGGCCGTTCTCTCTCGAAGCCCAGACGTCCCTCTCAAAAACCCAGACGTCCCTAGACGTCCCTCTGAAGGCCCAGACGTCCTTTCGAAGCGCAGACGTCCCCTCTCAATCCCCAGACGTGCCTCTCAAAGCCCAGACGTCCCCTCTCAAGCCAGACGTCCTCTCAAAGCCAGAAGTCCCCTTGAAGCCCAGACGTCCCTCTTAAAAGACGTCTCCAATCAAAGCCCAGACGTCCTCTCGAAGCCAGACGTCCCTCTCGAACCCAGAACGTCTCTCTTCGAATCCCAGACGTCCTCTCAAAGCCCCAGACGTCCCTTCGTCCTCTCAGCCCAGCTAATCCCCCAGACGTCCCTCTCAAAGCCCAGACGTCCCTCTCAAAGCCCAGACGTCCCTCTCCAGCCCTCCCCGCTCGTCCTCTTAAAGCCAGAACGTCCCTCTCAAGCCCAGACGTCCCTCTAAAGCCCAGACGTCCCTCTCAAAGCCAGACGTCTCTCTCGAAGCCAGACGTCCCTCTCAAAGCCCAGACGTCCCTCTCAAAGCCCAGACGTCTCTCTCGAAGCCCAGACGTCCCTCTCGAAGCCCAGACGTCCCTCTCGAAGCCCAGACGTCCCTCTCAAAGCCCAGACGTCCCTCTCAAAGCCCAGACCCTAGACGTCTCGAAGCCTAGACGTCCCTCTCAAAGCCCAGATCAAAGCCTAAACGTCTCTCTCGAAGCCCAGACGTCCTCTTAAATCCAGACGTCCCTCTCAAAGCCCAGCCCAGACGTCCCTCAAATCCAAGATCCCAGACGTCCCCCTCAAATCCCAGACGTCTCTCTCGAAGCCCAGACGTCCCTCTCAAAGCCCCTTACCTTCACGACAGTCACATTGGTCCCGTCAGGCTGGATGAGCGTCGTGACAGCTCCTGAGGGTCCGGGGAGTCCAGGGGCGCCTCGGTCTCCCTTCTCTCCTGCAGGACCTGCAGTGCCTCGGTCGCCTTTCGGTCCGGGTGTCTCTCTCTCGCCCTGGGGTCCCTTTGAGGAGGGAGAAGGGAGGAGGCGGTTAGGGTCGGAGGTGCTTGGCTCTTCTTCGCTGTCTTTTTGTATCTCTCTTTTTTTCTCTTTGTCTCCTTTTTTTCGTTCGTTTTCTCTCTTTCTCTTTTTCTCTGTCTCTCTCTCCTTCTTTCTCTCTCTCTCTCTCTCTCTTTCTCTCTCCCCATCCTCCATCTCCCCATCTCCTCCCACCCTCCCTTCCTTCCCCTCCCTCTTCCCTTTCCCCTTCCCCCCCTCCCCCCTCACCCAACCCTCCCCTACCTTGTTCCCGGGAGTCCATCGAGTCCAGGCTGCCCCGGGGGTCCGATGTCCCCGGGGGGTCCCATCAGGCCCTGGATGCCCTCGATGCCTTGGGGTCTGGAGTCCGGGGGTCCGGGGGTCCACCACGAAGCCCTTCAACTGGTCTGAAAAAATGGAGGAGTATTGGTGGGGAGGAAGGAGGAGGAGGAGGAGGAGGAGGAGGAGGGAGGAAAGGAGGAGGAGGAGAAGGAGGAAGAGGAGGGAGGAGGAGGAGGAGAGGAGGAAGAGGAGAGGAGGAGGAGGAGGAGGAAGAGGAAGGAGGAGGAGGAGGAGGAAGAGGAAAGGGGAGGAGGAGTAGAGGCAGAGAGGGAGAAGGAGGAGATAAAAGAAAGGAAAGGGAGGGATAGGGAATGAAAGGAAGAAACGAAATGAAGAGGAGAAAGAGAGGAAAAGAGAATGGAGTGAAATAGGGAAGTAAGGAGGAGGGGAAGAAAGAGAGAGAGAAATAGGAGAGAAAGAAAAAAAGGGAATGGAGAGGAAAGGCTAATGAGAGGGAGAGAGGGAGAGAGAGAGAGAGAGAGAGAGAGAGAGAGAGAGAGAGAGAGAGAGAGAGAGAGAGAGACAGAGACAGAGACAGAGACAGAGACAGAGACAGAGACAGAGCAGAGACAGAGACAGACAGACAGACAGACAGAGACAGAGACAGAGAGAGAGAGAGAGAGAGAGAGAGAGAGAGAGAGAGACAGAGACAGAGACAGAGACAGAGACAGAGACAGAGACAGAGACAGAGACAGACAGACAGACAGACAGACAGACAGAGACAGAGAGAGAGAGAGAGGAGAGAGAGAAGAGAGAGAGAGAGAGAGACAGAGACAGAGACAGAGACAGAGACAGAGACAGAGACAGAGACAGAGACAGAGACAGAGGCAGAGGCAGAGGCAGAGGCAGAGACAGAGACAGAGACAGAGACAGAGACAGACAGACAGACAGACAGAGACAGAGAGAGAGAGAGAGAGAGAGAGAGAGAAGAGAGAGAGAGAGAGAGAGAGAGAGAGAGAGACGATGGAAAATAAACAAAACTAAGAGAGAAGAAGAGGAAGAGAGACACAAAAAAGAGAGGGAGAGAGAGACAAAAGAGGAAGAAAAACAGCAAGAAGGAAGGAAGGTCAAGAGAAAGACCCAACACTTTATAAAGCGGCAAAAAGCTCTTTACACAACACACCCAATACACAAGTCAAGCTCTAAGCTCATACAGGGTATAGAACAGAAGCGATAAAGAGAGAAATAAACAACAACAATAACAAATCTATATAAAAAAAAACAGAGAAAGCAAAGTGATAAAAAATATATATTTTATCTAAAGCTTCATACAAGCAGACACAGCCATTCCAAATCAAACCTGCCTATATTATGGTTATTTTTTATTTGTTTTAATGGTTTATTTATAGCATAAGTGAGTCATCTTTTGAAGAACATTATTAAAAGACAGTTTTTAAATAAAAAAAACTCTAGTATTCTTAATTTTTTATCTTTTATTAGCAACTTTGCAAATATTTCTCTATCTCTGTGTATAAACCTCTTAGTTATTTAAACATTCTCAACAGGAACAATTAATCTTTTTAAAAATTAATTATCATTAATCTTTAATTTAAATTTCTACAAGAAGCATGATCACTTCGAGCTAAGAGTGAGACACAAAGCATAAGAAAAAGGACTTACTCGGGTAGAAAGGTTTGTACTCGAGACCTCCCGATCCTTCTAGGTAGACATCTTCGTCATCACTGACTGAAATGTTCACGTGCAAAAAGGGAAATGTAGAGAGAAAAACAAAAAAAAAAACAACAACAACAACGACAACAAGGACACATCAAGCTCTTTTTTTTTTTAAACGTAATTTTCAAGTCATTCCGATTCATGTCCGTTTAAGAGAGGGAGGGGAAGTGTAGAGGGAGAGGGAGAGGGAGAGGGACAGGTAGAGAGGTAGAGAGGGAGAGAAAGGGAGAGAGAGAAGAGGGAGAAGGAAGGTAAAGAGGGAGAGGAGAGAAGAAGGACAGGTAGAGAGGGAGAGAGAGGAGAGAGAAGAGAGGAAGAGGGAGAGGGAAAGGACAGGGTAGAGAGGGAGAGGGATAGGGAGAAGGACAGGTAGAGAGGGAGAGGGAGAAGACAGGTAGAGAGGAGAGGGAGAAAAGACAGAGAGAGGGGAGAGGGAGAAGAGAAGAGAGGAGAGGGAGGGGAGAAGAACAGGTAGAGAGGGAGAAGGAGAGAGAGAAGGAGGGAAGAGGGAGAAGGACAGGCAGAGAGGAGAGGGGAGAGGGAGAGAGGAAGATGAAGAGCGACAGAGGGGAAAAGAAGCAAAGATAAGAGAAGTGACAGAGGAAGAGGGAGAGGGAAACAATTTGAGTGTGGAAGAAGGAAGGAGAAGTAGAAGATTCTGAATGTGTGAGAGGGAGAGTGGAAGAAGGAGGAAGAGAGGAACAAGGAACCAGGGAGAGAGGAAAAGAGGAGGGAGAGGAGAGAGAGAAGAACAAAAGAAGAAAAGAGAAGGAAGAGAGGGACAGGGACAGGGTAGAAATAAGGAGGAGAAAAGAAGGAAGAGGAAGAAGAGGGAGAGGGGGAAAGAGAAGAGACAAGAAGCGTGAGAAGGAAAATCAAGAATAGAAGCGAAGATGAGAGGAGAGAACCGGGGGAAGGAAAGAGAGAGCAAGAAGACCAAGAGAACGACGAAAACAGAGACAAAGAAAGAGAGAAAAGAAACGAGAGACAGACAAACAGAGAAAAGAAA